AGGATCCTGCTAGAAACTGGAGTGCATCTCGCGCAAACAGGTAGCATTGCTGAATGTTTATGGTAGAAAAACAATCCTGAAATACAAAGTGCAGGGAGAGTGCAAGGTTTGCTGCTCTGCACGGGGATGCTGTGTGAGGTACAGATAGGGATCAGACACTGCAACTTGTAGGGTTGGGTTTGTGTGGATTTTTTTAAGACTTGGGTTTCCTGTCACTTTCCCCGTCACTTGGCTGGCAAGATGTAATTTTTCAATGTTTATAAAGCTTCATGATTTCTGTATGAATTTGCCAAAATAATGGCTGCATTAATTGCTCACTGGCATTAGTCTGATGTTTATCTTTTGTCAGTTTTTTATTTAGTACCCGATTACAATTTGCTAGTTTTAATGGGAGTAGAAAGGGTAGGCAAGAGAAACATAAAGAAAATTAACTCTGATTATTAGCAGTAAATTTATCTGACTCGGTAAGCATAAACAATTCTGTGATGGAAAGGCAAGCTGAAAGAAAATTGAACTGCCTAATTTCCTAATCCCCCCAAAGCCTTTACAACAGCTGGGCATTTAGTTGTTGTCAGCTAACACAAAAAAGCAACATATTTAAATACAGATAATAATGCCTCAGGAGAATAGAGATCGACCATAGGCTGTGATTGCCCTGTGATTTCATTACTGTCGAAAAGAAAGGTATTATAATATACTGGACCGATGGTGTGCATTTTGTTCTAGAAATTTAATAGAAGAATTGAGAGTAGTTGGAACAAATAAAGGACCAAATACAGTGGTTTTCACTGAGGTTTTTGTTTAATCCTAAAGCAATTAATAGCCCATTGAAATTAATGAGTGTTTGCTTGAATAAGGTCTAAGTAGAATGGTCTTCTCAGTTTATCTGAGTATGTAGTGGGAGACCTTTGACATTTTTACCTTGCATGGGGAAGTACTCAGCAGGGATGAGACCCTACAGTTTTGATGGGGATTTGAAGATCTAAAAATCAAACAGAAATTTGGGAAGGCCAGCCTGGTTTGTCCCATATACTTTTCCCCAAGAGCATATGAGAGCATGGAAAGCATCCAAGTAGGGATCAGGAAATAGAAGTCTGAGCATGTTTCAGATGCCTGAACAGATAATCTCAAGCTGAGACCCCTAAAGCATTTCCTTGTGGTGTGCAAGTAGCTGGTTTGCCAGGGTGTATTTGTACCTTCTCTTGATTTCCCAGCAGTTAAAGTTTTTTATATAGTTAAAAATATTCTAAGTGCTTTATTTATTTCAGTCTCTGGTGTTGTATTTGCATAAGCACCTGCAGAGGAGTGATCAGAATGACATGCCGGGTGGGCTATAAACCAAGCATCGAACTCTAGACCATGTTAGGAAAGAGCTAGAGAATTTGCTTTGCCTTGCAAAGTGTTCTGGCATACATAATAACACAAGACTTAGTTGCTTTCCTTGCTCTCAAGCACATTGCCTACGGATTCAGTGATGCAGATGCTTTATAATCCCAAATCAAAGGCCACAAGCAGCCAAACTAACAGAATAAGCAATCAAAAATTCATACAGATGTATTAGAAAAGTTACCTTCAAGTCAGCACATTCTCAGAATCACATGGATACATATGGTCATAATCTATGATTTGGTAATATCTCAAGTTGGAAGGGACCCATAAGGATCATGGGGTCCAACTAACTCCCTGCTTCTCACAGGACTACCTGAAACTTTATGAAGCAACCCTGAGTCCAACGTCAAGTACAAAAGGACTGCATCTATTTCAAAGTGCCTTGAATATGGCTGCAGTGGCATTTACCTACAGCAGCAGTAACGTATGCACAGACATGGCCCCAGTCCATAACCCTAATGACTACCTCCGTGCAAATAAAAGTTAGCACCAATATTAATACATAATGAAAATTGGTATCATCATTACAATCTTCCCTCATCCTGATGAACCGTCCTGGTTCTGCTTAGGTGGCAGTTAGTTACCTGCAGGCTTCGTTACAATCTCTTGGAGTCAGCAGAGGTATTTTCCCAGCCTAGGCACCACACCTCAGCAGCTATCTACAGAGAACCCAGCATCTTCTGTTTTGGTTTTTTTTGTTTGTTTTTTTTTTAATATTTCAAGACAAACCAGTTCCCTGTTGTTCGGTTTCCTAGAATGCTTTTACAGACTGCTAACGCAGCGAGCTCACAGCTCGTATTAACCTTCTTCTCACTGAGGCTGCTTGCAGTTCTTGTGCTGTTTGCATGACTCGTTAGCTGGGTGACACCTAAAGTGTCGCGGAGATGCTGCTCATGTGTCACGCACAGGAGGGTGTCTTTGCAGAGTTTTTTTTCATCATGCAGGTAGTCACTTGAGTGAACTTCGGTTTAGCCTATGGTTACAGGGCAGCCAAGGCAGAGGCAGTCACAAACAGCTTTTTTTTTTCCTGTGTATTTGAATGTTTAGGGTTTTGTTGTCAAAGCAGTTGTGTGGAAAAGAGGCTACATCATTGAGGATAAACCAGCCTAAAAACTGGAATCACAGCGTGATGCACCAGGGCCAGAAGTCGGTGCGTGAACCGAGACCCTCACTTTGGTGGTGGTGTGTACAGTTTGGGCATATCCGCGTTTACTGTATAGAATTTTTCATCTAATATTTGTGAAGTGTGTCTCATCCGAGTTGACTGTAAAATGTAACAGTGCATGTGTTTTACTTCATACTATTTTGATACAGAGGAAGAGATGGAGGTTTGTAAAATCTGTGCAAGCCATTGATTTGCTGTGGCCAAATGAGCTTGTTGCTTGTCAGCAGGGCGGTGTATTACTCCCTGTGTGCATTCGCCGCCTTTTCAAGTTGCGAAGGGAAATACGTTCCGTCAGTCACTGTTATTTTCCTTCACACTTAGAGCAGACTAGGAATACACACATGCCCTGTTAATATGAATCAGTTCGTGAGCTGTGACTCATGATGCTATAGGAACTTGATGGTTTTTTTTGCAACAGCTATACATATCTGTGATTAACAAAGATTGCCTTGGCCAATGTTAGAGCTGTGACTAATGCCAATCTTGTTAGGTATTCATCATCCAGATCTATCTCCTTGTCAAAAGTTTTGTTAAATAAGGTCTCCTCAAAGAAACATTGTCTTGCCATCAATTTTTCCCTGGCAGATGCATTGATTGAAATAAATGCGTTTTTCATTCCACTCAAGGAACCGAGTGACAGATCGTGCACTGAATATGACAAACACAACCATTGTTCTTATTGTAACTGTAATTATTACTGTATCGCAACATCAACAGCAGAATCATCTAATAATAGCAGAGACATCTTTACATGCTAATAAAAGAATCCTTCTCCTGTATGAAAAGGTTTTCAAATCACCTGAGTGTTTATATGAGATGGCCCAGAAATTGCTCCTCATTTCCCAGAGCAGAGCAGCCTTCTATCAGCTTTTCCACTCCTCTGGGTAGAAATGTACGTATCCATATTTATTTAGACCATTTTCTGAAGGACTGAAAAGCTTTTCATCATTATTCAGGATGTGATTCATGCATCTCCACATCTAATACATCAGAAAAAAATACTGGCCCCCTCAAATAACCTGTCCCAGTATTACATTTCTCTATCCTGACATGTATACTGGGCGATAGCTTAACTCACACATGTATCATCATTTTAATGCAGATGCTTTTTCTTCATCATCCCTTCCTGTTTTCCAGGCTCTGGGTACAGAAGGGTGCTTATTTGCTCTGAAATCTATCTCTTCCTCCTCTGTTGGTTTTTTTTGGTTGGTTTGGGGTTTTTTTTCCCCCTGCAGTTTAAAAGATACTAGCAGGACTCACACGACTATTGGACTGAAGGAGAGTCTTTTAGGATGGGTCTCTGAGGACTGGGGCTGTTACTGGTACCATTCGGGCGTGCTGTCCAGCTCCTGGAGCGGCAGGAGCTCCTCTGGGCGGTTTGCACCAGCCCCTTCCAGCATCCTCCTTTCTGCCTTGTAGCATTCTTCCTTCCCATTCCCTCTCCTCTCCCCTTCTCCCTTTCCTCAGCCTCCTTCCCGCTTCCCTCTGCTGGTGAGCGTGGTGTTAAGGAGCACGATATCCCTCCAGGCCTTACAGGAGCGTTGTGGCCAGACAGCCAAAGGAAAGGAGCGCTTTCTGTTGAGACCGCTGTTTGGGAACAGTGCCTGGGGAACGGGGCATTGCCTGCTGCTAAAACCCAGGGGCCAAAGTATCCTGTCGGTCATTGCCTGCAACTGAGCGGGGAAGGAGCCATTTGCGGAGTTGTAATTAAGAAGGGGCACTGCTCGCCAAGTCATATCACACTGATTAAAGAGCGGGTCAGAAAATCCTGATTTAGGGTGCCGAAGATTTACAGCTTATCGTGCACATAGAGGGCTAAACTGACTACACGATTGCTCTGTCTCTGAGAGACCAAAGAGCCACCCCAGCTACCAAAACGTAAAATAAATGAACAGTGGCTGCATGAGCTGCTTCTGCCTTGGAATTCCGTATTTGCATACAATTTCCGAGAGGCATTCTCAACGCTGTGTGTCTCTCCTTAGTACATATGTGCTGGAAATATGGAATAGCACTGGACTGCTTTGTTCTCGTGTCATACAAAAGGGACCATGAGCGTGAGGCTATCACGAAGACAGTTCCAAAACGGCAAAAATAGCGTCATCTGCTTTAACTCTCTGGGTCTCCCCTGGAGTCAACAGTTCAGCGCAGCTACAGCTCAGGTCACTTGTATCTTCTTCAGGGTTTCTTAGGGAGCGATGCATTTGGAAGGGACAGATTTTTATTGCCAACCTCTGTTTTTGTTTGGAGTCTTCAAGTATTGTCATGAATCAGTGTAGATAACGGAGGAGATTTTTTTTTTGAGGTCCTGGCTAAATTGCAGCCTCCACGTGTTGTATCTTTTGCAAATTTGAAAGGAAGTGATAGAAGGAAATGGTTCAAATAGCTGTGAGGATTTCTGAAGTCATTACTGAGGGAAAAAATTATTCTGTATGTTTTTTGCATATAGGTATACACCAGAATTCACAGAAATGGAAAGGCATTTGCTGAATATCCAGTGGGGTTGCGGAAGTACCGTCTGCTAACACCATTAAGTATCGCAAACAGATCCCTGCCTGGTGTGGGAATGTGCAAAACACGCAGTTCTACTGATACTCGGCTTCTATCAAACATCAGTTTAGCTGTAGGGAACCACACGCTGGCTCCCAGTGCCTTACGTGGTTTCTGAGGTGGTTTCTGTGCAAAATCTGTACGTATGTGCAGAAGAGCAAATTGCTGTAAATCATCTATTAAAATGAGAGGTAGTGACTTTTGATTTAAGCCATTTTTTTTTTTTGTTGATGTATTCCTGAGGAAAGATCTATTGTCAGTATGGACAAAATGATAGATTTGCAGGAAAGTGTAGCCTTTTAACTAAACTTGCTACTTTTGGTTTGTTGCATTGGGCACGTTTAAAAAGTAGCTTTATATCTTATTTATAAAAGGAGCTAAATACCTCAGCTTAATTTTTCAGTGTGACAGTGCCGGAAAAATGTGAATGAGATACTCCTCATTCGTGTGTTAGATGATAGCATTTTGTATTTGCAAACCATGTCAAACTGCATTAGCATGGAAATGGTGATTACAACTAATAATACATGTACTAATAATACAGCACGTATCATTGCAACATGTCTCACAAGCTGTGAACAGAACTGAGTGCCAAAGATGATTTGCCCCCTGATTCTGCATAGGATCCAAAGGCAATAACAATAGTTGCAATGGTCAAAATCTGAGAAGAAAAATTTGCCCATATTTATTTATTGTAACTGTGTTAATGATAATGTGGAGTGTCACCACTTGGAATGTAATTTTGTATTGGCTTCTTTTTTAAAAAATAAAAATGGGTTTGAAAAAGGTACTATAGTCTGATCTAAATGTTTAAAGTCATCCATTTGAAATAGCCTGGTAAGCATGTTCTTCTACCACTCCTGTATTTGCTGAAACTCTCAGACTGTTCCTTGAATATTGAAAGTTCCTCTTAAGCTTTAGAAATTTATTTTTCTGCTGACTAATTTAGCTTACTCCACCAAACCCTTATTTTCCCCTTTCTCTCACCTCCCTCCTGACCAAGAGGAATAGGTAGCAACTGCTAACTAATGAGTCTTTCTGGTGCCAGTGAAGGTTTTGATTATATGCCCAGATTCCAAATAGAGCCCGTTTTGATTTTCTTGTGAATAGGAGAAGGAGAAAATAATGTATTGGGGTCTCATGTCCTGAGCTGAATAGACAGAGGAGTAGTCTTGTTCCAGTTCAATGACAGACACTCTTTTTTAATTTTTTTTTTTATTTTTCTGTGAAAATATTTCTGTCCTTATTTGAAACAATCAGACCAGATGGGAAAAAAGCTGACATTGCAGGTTTCAGAATTGATGAAGCCTGTGCCGGTTACAGCTGCTGTACCCTCCCCGTGCTGTGGGCTCAGGAGTTCTGCTCGTTTTTAGCACAGGGACATTACAGGGACAAAGTACCCTGGGCTGCTGGTAGCCAAGAAGCTGAGGCCTTCAGTAAAATGAAGAGCTGCAAATGCCTGGCATTTCAAAATCAGGAGTTAAATTCTTACTCTAGTTCCTTACTCTCCCCCAGAATTTACATGGGGAAAAAAAAAATGAAACAATACTAACCTGGACTGTATCTACTCACCACTCACTTCTGGGCTGTTTGGCTTTCAAAATTATCTCCACATCACACAGCCTTCCTTTTTCTGAAATGAAGGCTGAGGTTTGCAAATAAATCACATGACTTCCTGACAAAAATAATTACTGTGAGGTGGGTGACAAGCCATTAGATCATGGTTACAATTTGACTTTACAGTGTAAGGTGCTAGAGAAATCTTCACTCAAATGAATGGTAACACCAGTGATAGTACAATTATTTTCTATTTCCTCGGCTGCTTCTAGAGAGTTGGTTAGACATGTACTTCTTCAGAGATCGGTCGTCTTAAATAAACTTCTCAAAATAAATGCAGATGGGTGTCTAAGTTGTTGAGGTTTGGCTTGGGGGATATATACACCCTGGGAGATAAAGTCAAGATGGACCATTCAGCCCTTAACCTTCCTTGTGAGACACTGAGAAGCAAGAAGACGCTAGTGTTAGTCGTGGTTTTGTGACATGGGTCTGCTCTGGAAACTTTGGTTCATTTTAAAGAGGAACCAAGCAGCTGTCAGATGTTGCCATCTTTCAGTCCTTAGCAACCAATCATAGAAGTCAAATTCTCTTGTGTCATTTTGCTCAAAGTCACGTCCTTTCACATTTTTAAGGACTGCTACAGCAAGTTACGCCTACATCGTTGGCCTAGGGATTGGGTCTATCTCATGGATGGACATCTTCCAGCTCCACCATGGTTTGTTTCTTCCCGTCTTCCTGCTGGAGGGAGAAGACAGAGGTGTTCAGGGAAGCAGACCTCTTGGGTCTAATGTGGTTGCCACCTTGTGGCTCCATGCCTAGGAGCAAGCCTCCCCGCTATTCTGTGCCACATCAGAGAAATCCCATGTCATCTCACTTACCACCTGGCTGGTACTGCTCTGTCTCTCATTTTGAAGCACAGCCAAGCAGAGAGACTGAGGTGAAAGCTGTGCAGAGCCCTCAGAAAGAATGATGTATTTAAGTTATTTTTCTTCTTCATTTTATCCAAGAACTCAAGAAATCAATACTCAGACGTTGCCTGATTGAGAACTCTAGCATCATAGACTAGATTTCTTGATGCACGTGGAAGGGGTGTGTATCCTTTCATATAATGAGATGTATTTGACTCTTGCTTATCACCACGGACAAATATATTGCACTTCCTTGCTGAAACAAGCTGACGGCTTCCCTGCTTCTATGTAATTAATAAGTTCTTGCTGTTTGCTGTGGTGTGATTTTCAAAGATGTGTGAAACAGCAAAGCACGCTGATAGAATGACAAGTGGTAAGAGTTGAGCCTTTCTTAAAGAGTCTGGTCCAAAAGTTGACAGGATTGGACCCTAACCCCTGGCCAGGAGAAGAGGGTCTGTTCCCAGCGAATCCCCCTGCAGCACCTCCAGCCAGAGCACGCCTTTGCACGAGCCTGCCGGTACCAGGGAGGGAGGTTTTCCTTTGCACGCTGCCCTCTGCTCTGCCCGTCGCCCCTTTAGAGAATGCCTCAAGGGGAAGGTGCCTTTTTTCCTTCTCCTTTGGAGAAGAGAGCAGGGGGAGGAGAGCAGAAAACGATGGTGTTTTGATCCGCCTGTTTCTTATTCGAGTTGCATAAACACACCAGAGGATTTCTCTAAATTAAATTAAGCAAACCTTTCATGTTCTCTCCCGGCTTCAAGAAAGCTAATGTGGCTGCTTGCAGATTTGCAGCTACAGAGAAGACAAAGATCTGTAGTGTGCACAGCCTCAAGTGCTGAGCAATGTCATGCTGAAAGAACCTGCATGAGCTTTAATAGAGTATAAAAGCTTTCTGGGCACCAAGCAAAAAAACTGTTTAAATCCCTGACAGGGATGAGAGCACAGCATGTATTATCAGCATATGCACAGAGACGGGAAGGCTCTCGAAACATTTGCATTTTGGATTTGCTGCAATTAAAGGGTTTCAACCTTTCCAAAAAGGTTGAAACGGTGGAAGGAGTAAATATAAGACTCCACCTTTTCTCCACCTCCATACAAATATTTAGGGCTCTTCCCTTTTCTCTGCACGCATGCCTCACTTGCACTGATCCTCATGGCAATTCTTCTTGAATGTAAGGGATGTAAAACCCCACAGGCTTCTCTTTCATATTTATAGTCATCATTTGGTGCTCAGGTTGTGGCAGTCCCTGCCCCACACAGTGAAGGACTGACCCCCGCTGTGTGCGGCACTGGACACACAGCAAAAAGATTGCCCCCGGGCTGCAATTCCTCATGAAAGCAGACCCTTTTCCTCACGAGCGCAAGCGTAGAGCTGCCGATCTTGAGAGAGAGTAGTGCAAGCTGAACTGGAGCAGAAAGTGATTGCATGTGGATCAGCGGTGAACAGGTCAGATGATGACGTAGTACGTATGGGTTCTCGGGGGGAAAAATGACTATTTCAGGCAGGCTTGACTGTAGGCAAAGTTTGCCTGACTAAGATTTCCCTTATTTTGATAACTAATTTGCCAGACTAAAATCTCTCTGCAAAGAGTCTGTGTAACTCAAGGGCTGTTATGTTATGTTAGTGATCTGCATCAAGTGGCATAGCTGGAGCTACTGGTTAGAGGAATATAGGGCAGGTGGATGAATGCTTTCTCCGATATCAAACAGATGCAGAAAAAAAATGATTCAGGAGCAGGAAAAGAAATGCTGTAAGGTTGAAAATGTCAACTCAGTCACCAGTAGCAGCCTGTAAAGATGAGAGAGAAAAGTGAGAAAGGAAGACCATGGCCATTGAATAGAGGATTCCTGCCTAATATGAGAGGAAAATGAGTACGTGTCTACATTTCCAATTATGTAGAAGGTAAGTAGGAGCGAGTCGAAGGAAGATCTTTCCTTTCTTGGCTTTTACTGGATGTGACTGCCACTTCAGTGGTGACAGCCCTCCCTCCAGTTTCAGCTACTCAAATAGCAGCAGACAAAGACTGGGAATAGGCAGTGTGGATAAGCTGGTTATTGAATGTTTGGACTGTGACCCCCTTCTTCTTCCAGTCAGGCTGTTAAATATTCATGTAAGTGGGCTCAGACAGATCCCTGCCATCTGTCTGTATTTATATGACTTCATCCAAACAGCTCCAAAACATGTAAAATTTTATCCTTACAGCAGCTCTTTAAAGAAAAGGGGATTTCTCACCTACCTGACGGGAAAAGGAATCAAAACACAATGCAATTTAGCGAGTAACCAGATTTATTCATCTGGACTCCAGCAGACAGGATCCAAATCCAGCTCTTGTAAATGCCAGGCCCAGCTACAGCCCCAGGGTCTCAAGGCAAAGATCATATTTAGTGCTATAAGGTGTTGTATAGCTCACCTAATAGTGATCGTTAAGCATAAAAACATCTTTCTATGCAACTATAAAGGAAACCAGAGACTCTGTGACTGTATGTGTGTGTGGGTACAGAATGAAAGTATTTGATGAAGAAAAATCAATAATAAAACCATTATTCAGGCATCTCTGCCTGCACTGCATTCAGTCGCACACCTTGATGGCCAGATAAAACAGGACCATCATGCAAGCTTCAGTAAACGGTGTGCCCATATGGGCAGTTCTGTGAGGGAACAGATTGTCACAGCTACGTTTGACCTGCTTTTAGAGCAGTCGTGGCTCTCCCTTGGCACTGTGGATGCGCTGTCGACATTTCAGCAGAGCTGCTTCAAAAAAAGGAGTGCCATTGTCAGAATAGCGTGGCATTTTATGAGTGGGAAGCAATTCCTACACTTTAAATCAAGCAACAAGCCCAGTACTTCTCCCTGTCTCCAATCAGAGCCTCTTAAACCGTCTGAATGTGAAAGATGAAGGAATGAGACCACTGAGAGGACAAGCCCAGTCTTTTCAGTGTACGTACATCCAGTTACTGTGGACATGAGGTGCTGTGACTCATATGCTTCAGGGGTTTGAATCCGGAGCTCAGATACAGCTCTCGGAAGCCCCCACCCAGGCAGGTTATCGCAGAAGAGATTATCTGTGAGATAGCTGAGTTGGGGTGGTTGTTTTTGTACCTGTTCCCAGAAGGCGGCAGATGTGGGGTAGCAGTCCTCCTTACTGTAGCTTACTCTCTTATCTGTCCAGACCCTCACCTTCTTGTTATTTTTAGCATTTTGAAAATAGAGAGAGACGCGTTTTCATTCTGGTGCTTGGGAAACTGTTAACATGACTTTTGGAAACAGGCCAGAGGGGATCTGTCTGCCTTTAGCACTGTATTGAAATGTTTTCTTCTTTCAAGGATCTTTCTCCTTGGCTTAGTTTTTAAGGACAGCCTTGAGGCTTTGAGTTCACTCAGTCGATACGTTTTGGTTGATGATTTTTTTTTTTAAACTGTTTTTCAGGCATTGGAAAAAATGTCATCTGTGACCGAACGGCGACTCCCCTGGATGCCTTTAGGATGATGACCGCGGCTCATTATTACCCAAAGCTCATGAGTATCATGGGGAACGTTTTGCGCTTCCTGCCCGCTTTCGTGAAGATGAAGCAGCTGATCCAGGAGGGTTACGTAGGGGAGCTGCTGGTGTGTGAGGTGCAGGTTCACAGCGGAAGCCTGCTAGGCAAGAAGTACAACTGGAGCTGTGACGACCTGATGGGAGGCGGGGGCTTGCACTCGGTTGGCACCTACATCATTGACCTTCTGACTTTCCTCACCAGCCAGAAGGCTGTGAAAGTGCACGGGTTGCTCAAGACCTTCGTGAAGCAGACGGACCACATCAAGGGGATACGGCAGATCACCAGCGACGACTTCTGCACGTTTCAGATGGTCCTGGAAGGCGGCGTGTGTTGCACGGTGACGCTGAACTTCAACGTCCCGGGGGAGTTCAAACAAGACATTATTGTGGTCGGTTCGGCAGGACGGCTGATTGTAATAGGCACTGATCTCTACGGACAGAGCAACAGCTCTCCTCAGCGGGAGCTCCTGCTAAAGGACTCCACGCCAGTCAGCAACTCCTTACTTCCAGAGAAGGCCTTCAGTGACATCCCATCCCCCTACCTCCGCGGCACCATTAAGATGGTTCAAGCCGTCCGGCAGGCATTTGAGGACCAGGACGACAGGCGGACCTGGGATGGGAGGCCCCTCACGATGGCTGCCACTTTTGACGACTGTCTGTATGCCCTGTGTGTGGTGGACACGATTAAAAAGTCAAACCAGTTGGGGGAGTGGCAGAACATTTCAATCATGACTGAGGAGCCAGAACTGAGCCCAGCATACTTAATCAGCGAAGCCATGCGGAAGAGCAGGATGTCTCTGTACTGCTAGCTCCTCTCCGCTCCTAGGAAAGAATAGGAACCAGACAGCTCTTGAAGGAAATGGTAATTCAGCCCCTGTGAAGGGCCTGGGCATCTAAGAAACAGCTGAGGATACGGGAGAAGGAAACACGGTGTTTGGATCAACTAGATCTGTTGGTGGCTAAATGCCAAAGTGATAAGGTCCTTAGAAATGCCCGAAACAGATAGGAGACTTAAGAGCTGACATAACTTAACTGTTTTAATAACAGTATTGGCTGGCTGATTGGAAAGATATATCATGGACTCATCTCCTGCTTGCAGGTGCTTTAGATTATTCAATTGTGTTTACTGTGAAAGGTTGGGAAGATCCTTTTAGATTTTCCTTACCTACCAGAGGGCTGTGAGAGTACTGTCATGTCATTAAGTTTTCTGTAGTGTCTTGACATGAATGGTTCCTACCGTGACAGCTGACGCCACCGTGCTGTAGTACTACACCTCTAACCAACACACAGAGTAACAGGACTTGGTGTGAAAGCGTCGCGTGATATGGGAAATCTCAGCAGCTCACTTTTCATACAGCTTGTTAGGAGCTTCTCTGTGTTGGTTTTGCTAGTTGTTTTTTGTTTGTTTTGTTTTGTTTCATTTTGTTTAAAGCACAATTGAGTAGGAAAATATGTGGCTTTTAAAACAAAGCAGTCCTCAACCACAGTGACTATGCCCCGGTATTGGAGGAGGGAGGGTCTTCTGTGAGCTCCTGGTAAGCTTCAGTGTTAACTGCACAGATTTGCTGATTGAAATGGGTTGTGCAAAACCTTCATGGATGGCAAGTGACATGCCACAGTAGTGATGGGGTTTACTATACAGCTGAACTCAGGCTAGTCTTATGAAGGTTTACACACAATTTCCTGTGTCTGGGACTGAATTTTGAGTGAATTCATTGTGCATTTTGGTTTTAGGTGGAAAACAGTAGAAATCCAACCTGAAACCGTATGATGCTTAGACGGGCGGTGTTTTTTTAAACCTTTGTGAACTCACACTTGAGAGATGCTGACCAACAATTAATTTCATATAGCTCAAGCCAGAAGCTTTCACTTCCGCTGAGTGGTGAGTGTGAGTGAAAAACAAAAGGGATAAGAAAATTTTCCGTCCATTTCTAGGGGAAAAAATTACCTAAGACCCGCACCTCTTCACCTCCTTCAAGTGGCCAGCTACTGGTACTGTAGTAATTGTTCCCTGTCACCAGTACAGGGATGGACAAACTCTTTTGATATGTTTGTCGTGTCCTTCTTTTTAATGTTTTAGATTGCAGTCTTGAAATAATATATTCTTGAAAGAATATGTTCTTGAAAGAATATAATGAAAGGCACATGAATTATCCCAGTAAACAGGGATACTGCTGTTCTGCATAAAGCTGCTCCAGTGCTCACGTGTTTACAGCACTAGGTCCTCAGATAGGAAAAAGTAGAACACAAGCATATAGCACTAAATTAGATTAAACTTGAAAAAGAAAAACTGTTCAGGGTTTTTTGTTAATTTTGACTAGGGGAATGAAGAGAACATTTGGATGAGCGGTAGATTAAAAGAGAAAGTATGACCCTCTTTCTCAAGGCCATCAGAATAGCGTTGCCATTTTAGGTTAGAAAGAGAACTGTCAGAATAATTCACATTTTTTTTTGAAAAACACTTCAGAGGTTTGCTATTTTTAGGAGCACTAAGGGCTTCTGTAGAGGCTTCTCCTACAAATGACTCCATCTGATTGCTGTACGCTCCTGCCTGTCTTGCGGCCAGTTTTAGAGCTTTGTGGTTTTGAACAAGAGAGCATCAAGAGTGTGGTTCATCTCATCTGGCTTTAGCCAGTTGAAAGTTGGGTATCAGCTGTGCAAGGAGGGACACAATAGTCAATTCAGAGCGAGCTCCCCAAATCCTAAGATTAATATAGAAGGAGGTGCCCATTGGAAATTCCTGCCCTCCTCCTTTGCGGAGAATCTTGGCTTCTAAAATTTTTAGGTGGCTAAAGTTAGGAAACTTGACTCCCACCCCAAAATTATTAATGTGTGCTTAATATTTGGAGAGCATATGTGTGACCTTTCATGAAATATTCCCCAAAGTGTAATACTGTGACTGATGAAGGAGTAACGTAATACTGCAAGACCGCACCCAAACAGAATTGTTTCTATCCTTGTTGTTCTGCCAGTTCTAGCAACTGTCTCTGGGGCTGACCGCTTCTGCTAAGACCTTGGCCAAGCTTGCATCGTTCCTTCTTGGAAGCAGCCCGTGACAAGTTTGGACATTTTTCCTAAAAATTGATTTCTTTGAGAATTTCTGAGGTAGCATCTGTGCCAACAGGAATTTCCCATTATAATTGTCGTGGTATACCATGCTATCCAGTTCCTGCCCTGAAAAATACACAGAGAAATACAGAAGAGAGAATTTGACCAAGAAATCACCTCTCTCTCTCTCCCTCTCTCCTGAAAAATGGAATTAGCCCCCAAGGGGATCAAGAGAGTTTTCATATAGTAAGGCAAAAGCCATTTATTGAAAATAGTGGCTAGTTCAAGTAATGAGTGCAAGCCCGGTGGATAATTAACCACGTCTAATTAAACATCATCCAAAACTGGAACTAAACATGGACTGAAATGTTTGTGAGTCTTGCTTCTTAGTGGTCTGGCCATTGTGCTGGAATTGCTGTTCATGTCTTTGCACCTCGTTCTGGTTCACAAATGTTGATGGTTTTTCCTATCTTTATTTTCCTTTCTTTTTCCCTGTGTCTTTCTGGGTTTTGTGATGCCAGCTGGAAGAAGACACGCTGCAATCCTGTTACCCACCCCTGCGGTGAACAGTCCCCAGGCAAGACACGGTGTATAGGGATAGCACTACTGAGCTAAAACCTTCCCATCCTGGATCTGAAGGTTTAGGTGACAGCCCTCCATGCAGACTTACTGGTGCAGATAGTGCTGCTTAGCAGAAAGAAAAGCCAGTGCTTTGGTGACGGAGCCATCTGATGTGCTGGTACTGGTACTGGCTTGCGAGTGGGTTGAATCCTGTTACAGCTCGTTGCGCGACCACGGGGCTGGCCCCGGAGAGGGAGGCAGAATGAGCGGGGCCGGGGTGGGACCTCCTCTTCTGATGGCAACAGAGATCTTGTGCTAGATTTAGGTGAAGTTGTTACCTGCCTGGGGTGGCAGCAGTAACTGCATACGTTTGGGACAGCGTGACAGTTTTTCCATTCTCCAGGAGGTGAAGGTGCTCTAGTGTCCAAGTGTAAAGATACTAAACTTCCTCCTGGCTCAGAGGAAGGGATTGGTTTATCTATAGAATGCGTATTACTATTCTGATAAATTGTTACTTTACAGTCTGGGATCTTCCTTGGCAGCATCGAGCCCTCTGCTCTTTTGGTACAGTTGAAAGTACATTGAATTGCCCTAAGAAGCCTCTGGAGTTCACGCTGGGTTTAAGAATTTGGGCAGCAGATAGCAGAGATGTACTTGACTGAACTCAAAAGCGGTACCGCACCAGGAAACATATATTTGGAATTGCACTTTCAATGCCATCCTTTAATGCTGTGCCACAAGGTTTGAGATGAATGCTGCTAGAATTGGTGCAGGCCTAATAGCCAAACTGTGGCTACTGCTGGAATTTACAGTAGCGCCCAAATGAGCTTGTTCATACACTAGGTAAGAAACGTTCATTCCTCTTTCCCAGGGCTGCTGTTGGAGAGGCTCTTTCCTTTGCCATCAACCTGTGCACATAGGATACTGAACATTATGGTCTGTTGCCAAAGACAAAAAGAGCCAAAGGGGAGAGCCCAGGTGAAATGCTCTGCTGCTCTGCAGTGTCTGTTCCAATGCTGGGATGGTCAGCTGAGAGATAGGTCTTATTTCCTGTGGGAATTGCACTGGGGTCCACACCAGGGGTAGGGCAACCCTACGCCGTGTGGTAGCAGGGCACAACTAAAGTCCTGCCGTGTGCCCAAAGGGAGGGTGGTGACTGCAGCGGGGAGCGACAGGAAGGTGGGTCTGCAGTCTGGTACCTGTATGTCTGCGTCACCAGGGAGAATATGCTGGTCGCACGGAGGGTGAGGGCTGTACCTCCTGAGGGTGATAGCAGCAGCCTTGCTCCACCTCTGTGTTTGGGAGCCCGAGAAGGGACCCTGCCCTCAGGGAAGCAGCATCCGTCCTGTCCTGCTAGATCTGTGCATGACCTCAGTGCTGAACTCAGCAAAGTCCTACGCGGAGGCATAACAACTCTGCAAGAGCTTGGGGTTTCCTATATCTAATAATGTGCATGTGTTAAATTAGTAGTACTTTAGCTGTGTAGTTAGAAAATACCAAGTAGAGATTCTACGTCCTTACCCATGCAGCCAATATGGCAGAGAATCAGGGCGTGCATCGACGCGTTCAGGCTCAGGATGGGCTGCTGCAGAGTTCATCCTTTGCTTTGGCTGAAAGCATGAGAAATTCCTGCCCAGCCAGCATCGGGCAATCAGAGGCACTCTCCACTTTGCACTTAGTGTCTCCTTTTTGTGGATAGCTTTCAAACCAGTGACTGTACAAGCGAACAGCTGTCCTGGAAGTTCAGCCATTCAAAAACAGAGGCTTTTCTCCTGCGGTGTAGTCACAGCGCAAGGACAATTCAATTTCTCTGTTACCTTGTTTGTTTCTGTGCCCATACAAATGTGGAAAAGACCCAGACAATTTAAAATGACTCATTTCTCTACCAAAAAAAAAAAAAAAGCAGCAGATTTAATTTAATGGGTGCAGCTAAACATAGTATCTTGATGGTGTCTTTGCAGAGATGCAGAAATAACTGAAGACAATTTCTTGTTGCTGGGAATTTTTATATTTGACTTTTACCTATGGCCTTCAGTATAAAATATCACAAATTACGAAGTCTATTTGCTGTTAAGTTCTCTATTTACAAGGGTTTAAAAGCACCCAGCAGACTTTCGGCTTTGTGCAGAAACTCAACACTGGTGTGATGTTCCGGCGGGCCGGTGCTGTACCCCTTCAGTACGTATGGAACTCAGCACGGGACTGTTTGGCCTCTGCAGCACTCTCTGGGTATCTAGGACGAGTTGTGAAATGGCAGGATTATTCCGGACAGCAGTTTCTTGTTGTTGTTGAAGTTGTTACTTGTGGGGAGCAAAGCTTGTAAATTTTAGAGATGAAGTATGACTGAATAATAACTGGCAGTCTTATCTCCTTTAAAATTTCCTCTCTCTTGAGCTGCTGGATGAAATCTGTCCAATAAAAATAATTTCCCCTTAACAGTAACTGCCCACTTCCATTTGCTCATGCAAAGAGGAAATTTTAAGTAAATGGGGCTATACATAATGCTGCATTCATGAACCGATGTCATAACCTCATGACTTACTGAAGCCAGAGCCCAGGCAGTTAATGACTTTCTCGAAGCTGCCAAATTGAAGCCTCGGGGTTGGAGAATGAAGGGTATCAGCTTAGGTCAAACTGAAATAGCTTTTATTCAGCATTTTCAGTTAAATGAATAAACAGAATGGCCATGGTCAATCCAAAACTCAACACAAAACATGTTTGTAGATTTTTTTCTTTTGGGATTAAGTTCCATTTATAAGGAATGCTGTTTTGAAATGAAAAGTTTAAAAAAAAATCCATCTTTTTCTGTGTTTTGGCATGCGTGAAATTAACTGTTTGGGTTTGGGCGTGGGTTTTGCTGTTGTTTTTTTTTTTAAAATTCATACTTTAAAAAATCCCATCCATTGGGTTCAGTGAACGTCCATTAAGGACATTGAGTGAATTCAGCTGCCCTTGGGCAGGCTTGGCTCTGAACCTGCAGCCTCTCAGGGTCATGCAGTGACCCCATTTCTAGAACCTGAATTTGGCTGCCTGGATTTCATTTTGTGTCTTCTTGTGGCAGTGGGAAAAGCGGTTCATTACATGGAGTTGGCTACAGATAATCAAGATACTTTTTGCAGCAGTGCCAGCCATCGTCTTTAACAGCACTTAACTCTGTTAACTTGTTTACTGTGGTTATTTATGACCTTCCAGCCATGTGCTCTCCATTACTTCTTTTTCTTTTTACTCCAGCGGCCGTCAGGCCTGCTTCCCTCCCCTTTCTGTTCCTCATTCCATTGCAAGCCACGAGGCGAGTCCTCCTTGTTTCCCACTGAGCTCGCGCTCCCTCTGTGTTACACGTGGCACGCGGGGTGGCCAGCCTACGACTTGAAGTAACTTTTAACGCAGATTCGTTACAGAATATTGTTGACATCGCAACCACTCGAGCACATGGCATACCAAATGCCCAGCCAGGGCAGGAATCAGAGCTCCCTGCTGTGCTGTGCTTCACAAGTGACACTCGCTGTTTCTCTCCGTGCTGGTTTTCTTTTCTTTGATTTTGAAAACGAGAATATGTTCAGTTTGTTGCTGTGTCAACATTAAGTATATATTTATTGTTTTTCAGACATACATACATATATATAAATGCTATATATATATAATGTCAACGCATGGACATATGTACAGTAGATATTTTAAAGAGCTATTTATCAAGAAAAGTAAGTGTTATAAGTAAACAGAGTTTATATTTTATATATTATGTAGATAGCAAAAAAAAAAAGTGGTTAAATTATAGTAAGACTTTTGGGGGCGGAGGGGTGGGATTGGAAAAATGGGTGAGGGCTGGTTCTAGCATTTTAAATAGCCAAACTACTTTGTACGGAAGCTGCCTGCTGTGCCTCTCGGCTGCAATATCTGTTTGTTTCTTCTTCTGGAAGATGACGTGCATTGTTACTTTTACATTGCTTGGGGAATGTAGTTAGTTTTATTCTCAGCCAACTGGTATGTGCTGCTTAAAACATGGTTTCCTGCTGTTCTGCCTATTTGCATTGATGGAATAAAAGGATCTTAACTGGCAAATAAAGATGTAAAAGGATGTGATCTCAGCTGTCTGTCATTTTTCCCCACACTTGTATTTCGGAGGAGGGGGTAATAACCATCACCTTCGCCAGGTTTCTGGCCTGCCTGTTGAGTTGAACACATGGGAGTAAAATCCGTGCGCTTTGTGCTTGGGGCTGGGGATTGGGATGGAGGTTGGGAAAGAGGGAAGGAGGTTTATCACTAAGCTGTTTGAAGGTTTAATGTTACGGCAAGGCCTGAACTAACTCCTGCTGGTGTGCCGTGTCCTGAGGAGACAGTTGGTTTTGTTGCCAGTGGACGCCAGTGTGTCCAGGGGCAGAGCAAAAAGGTGGCCTGGGGCATCCCTGCTGAGCACAGCCTGGAGATCCTTTCTGGGCCCTCCTCCCTGCCTCCCCACTGACGCCCTGGGATGCCCTTGCCTTCCCCATCCTCAGCTCCCTCCAGTGACATCCCCGTGCCTACCCAGTCCTGGCTCCCACCCGCCACGGAGCTGTCAAGCCTGTCCCGCTTACCCCCGGCTCCTTTTCTCCCTCGTATGCGGGTGTCTCATCACCCTAGTGAGGAGCTTGGTACTCCAGCCCCTCTGATGCCAGAGAAAACCTCACTTCAGTACAAGGCAGAAGATAATATGAAGCAGTGGGGAATTCTAGGCTCTGAGGAAAGATTTATTGCCCCTGTGATTTACTTGCAAAAATAATAGAGCGTTTCCTATGTTGTTTTTTCCGTTTGACAGCAGAACACACAGGAAGTTGTTGGATTCTGCTCGTGTTGGCGCTCACTCATTTCCCAGGCACTATGGAAGTACAGCACATCTGAGGCACAAATCTGTGAATGGATAGGAAATCATCATCACTTACAACGCAGGCTCCCCTCAGATCACACTCAGATCTTGTGAAGTGAAGTGTATACTTCTCATAAATACAAAAATTTACAGAGTGGGTATAGCATTTACTCCGTCCCAGAAATGCAGCGTGTTAGCAATTTCTATTACCACCATTGCAGCTGTCATAATTTAAAGATGTACCAATGTTTATATACACATAAAATACATTTTTGTCAGTTTTAATACACATTATTTTCTTAGGCTGAAGAGGAGAAAAGCACAAGGCAAGGAAGAATCAGTGCCTAGGTCTTCAGGAATTATATTTTGATGTTTGCCTTGCCCTTGTGAGCAAATGCAGTATAAGCTTGCTCAGGCTTCCAGATTGCTGTCTCCAACTAATCCACTAGGCACTGAAATAAAACAGGGCCAAATTTTATGGTATATCCTTTCCAATCAACTTCATAGTAAAATGGGGCCTACTTCCATTTCAGAGTTTAAAACGTAGAAATCTTTGGAAAACGGCACCTAGGGGAGCAATTACTGTGAACGTGTCAGAGAGACAGTGGGATTATGAGTACGCGGTTACAGCGCACAATGTGGAACTGTATAGGTGCAAGTGCAAGAGCGGGCATAAACATTCCACACTAATGAGGCTACATAAACGCTAAGGTAAACATTTTCAAACGTGGGTCAGCATAGTGAGACACTTAAATGTAGATTTATGAGCCCAAGTAAGAGTTCTGCTTTTAAAACAAACTGCAAAAATGTGGGTGAGGGGGAAAACCTCTTGCTGTTTTCCACAAGTTTTGAAGGCCCAAGGCTTCCCACAGCTCCCCTGCCTTGTTTGGCTGTGTTCTGGAGCCCCTATTGATGAGCAGCTATGTAGTAAAAACAATGGGTGGCTTGTAGCCATAAATATTAATCAGAAGAATTTTAAATGCATTGCATTGTTTTCTTCGGGAATGAGGAGTTTGCTGGGGCAGGGGTTATTAAGAAGTGCTGCTGTGCCAAAGAGAAGAAGCACTTAATGCCTTTGTTACGGATTCCTTTCGGGCGGTGGAAAGCCACGGAGCTCTTTGCATCGCTGAAAACTCACACTTGGGAGTGGACATCTGTGATGCAGAGGAGAACAGGGCTTTTTGCCCCATGTAGTACTCTGGAGCAGCTCAGATGGAGGTGAGGCAGCGTGGGTCTTCCTAGAGCAGCCTTTCCTGGGGCTGGAGGCTGGGTGAACGGCCGCTGCAGCCCGGGGGGACCCCGGTGCCTCTTGCTTGGCCTGCGCAGGCCCACGTGCCTCTGCTGGTCACTGCTGTGGCCATCATGCTCAGCATGGAAGGAACAAATTTCCATCAGGCATCACCAGCAGGGAGCCCTCAGAGTCACCAGACCTGTCACCTGCCCCACAGCGCTAGCCTAGTACCAGCTAATACTCCGTCTCCTGCATACGATGCCTTTTGTCATATGTTTTCCACTTGGGAGTGCTCCAACCAGCGAATTTAGCACCACAAACCTTGGTGTGGCACCGCATCTTTGCTTTAAGATGAGCGATTGTTGGAATTTACTGGCAGCTGCAGCTCCACAAGCAGTGGCTGAGGGATGAGGCCGGGCTGCTGACAGGCGCAGGGCACCAGCGCTTACTCTTGTCCCCGACTGCTTGCTCCTGCCTTCCCCGGATACTGGCACTGGGGAGCGTGTGTGCAGCCGCCTGGTTAACGTGATCATGGAGTTAGCTGAAAACCGAACAATGTGGGGTTTTTTTTTTACCAGGTTAGTTTCCAGGCAGATTGGCTCCCTGATCTGAGTCATTGTCAACGGCAATTTATGCCAGATTGCTTTAACAGCAGAATGTAAATAGAAACCAGGACTGCTGACTGCCAGAAATGTGCTTTTTTTCATCAGATCAAAGAGTCAGTAGAGTAACTGCAGAATAATAAACAGGACCACAAGAAAAGGGAATGGATAGAGGAAAACAGTTTTAAGTTCTGTATTTCCATACAAAAGGATATACGTGTAAGCAAATGTTTCTTAAGAAACTGCAGTCCCCCTCTTCCAGACATGGGAGTCCTGTATATACAGATTCGCAGAGAAGCCTTTCAGGGTCTGCTCCAATCTGTTCTAATAACTCTGCCTTTCGCAGTTAATCACATATCTTGCAGACTGAAGTCTTTCACAGAAATTATCACATCACATCCAGGCAATGATGACAGCCTCTGAACGCGCCCGGCTTCGTCACTTGTGCGAGTAAGCTTTACATAGTGTTTCAGCCAAACCTGACAAAGCTCAGACCTGCATTTCTGACTTTGAGAACACAGAAATAGTTGAAAGGGAGCTTGACTTGTAGCATGATGCATTGTCTTTGGCGGCTGTTTTTCTCACTGTTGTCCCTAAATGGCTAGATTTTATTTTTTTTAACATTGCTTTTCAGTGGTGCTAGTTGTTGTATCTTCTGGAAGCATTTGTAATGAAAAGAGGCCTTACACTACAAAGGTGACAAGCCAAAGAAGGAACGTCATCAGAAAGAGAGTGAAAATCAGGACCAGGATAAAAAGCAGATTCACGAGAAACAAGAACGTCCCTGGGTGCTGGCAATTGATTCCCTATCCTGTTAAGTTGACAGAAACATCCCAAACATGAGTTTTGGCTTAGATCAACCTACATCATTTCTATATAATATATATATATTTTATATATATATTATATATAATTTCTGTGGCGCAGGTAGGAAGCTAGCACGCAGCAGAGACTATTCCCGCTAAGTGAGCTGCTTGTAACCACCCTCTTTTGGAGGTTATGAAATTAGTAACAGGGCCATGGCCATTCTGTGCCAACTGGCCTTAGTGCCAGAGGGTGGTCCTGGGCGCTACATCTGCTGCTCTGGCTTTTCTTTTTTTTCGAGAACGGATCAGTAGAATGGAAGGATGCTAGTATTACAAAACCGGTATGTTAGAAAATGCATCTGTCTCTATGCCAGTGAGAGGAAATTCAGGTATAAACCGGGCCGAGCTCTTTAGGCACAACATTTTTGGTTAAAAGGGACTATTTTCCTATTCACTTTTCTGCACCTTTTGCTGGCAGTTCCATGACAGCAGAAACAACTTCCTGGGGGATGCTCTGCCCTTTCGGCCACAGACCTTGCTTGCTGGGGGTAATTCCTGTTGTTTAGGACTACAGCAGGAACAGGGCCTCTACGGAGAAGAAGGGACTGAGTCCCTGGTTAGACAAAGCTCACAGCTGCCCACCCACATTTGGCAAACTCTGTCTGTACTGCTTTGCACGTATGAAGCGCCTTAAAAAGATTAACACATCCCCACAAAACGAGCTGTTGTGATTATTCCCATTTTGCAGCTGGCAAGGCGGAGGCAGAGGTGAAGTTGGTGAGATCACTCCCTAATGAACTTCGCTTTTCTCTGAATTTCCTACCTGGATTATTAGGTTTGCCCTCTCCCAGTGGTGGAACCCATCACTCGAAATGTCACTGTCAGAGGGCCCTCCAAATGTCTAAGACGATAAGGAATGTCTCATTCCAGACCAGGTACCAGCTCAGGTCTTTACAGAATGTCAGCTTAATTGGAAATACTCTTACAAATAGTAATATTTTTTCATAATTTTTGATTTACTTGTAGCTGCTAACCTTTTTTTGGTTTTCCTTAATCGAACGCAGTTTTTGGTAGGATATTCCTCCTCTTGTGGACTAAGGGGTCTGAACTATTTAGCTTTAAAAAAGGATTTTAGAACTGTAGTGCTGGAAGATTTAAAATTACATGCTGTTATTTTAATATATATATAGAGTGATATTTGTGTTTATAACAGGATCTCATTGGCTTTACGAAGGAGGTACACACCGTTACCTTCACCTTATCTCTTGGAAAACTAGAGACAGAAAGGGAAACCATGCTGCCCAAGGCCACGCAGAGCGACTCCATGACAGCAAGATACTAAATCCTGCTGCTTTAATTTCTAGTTGCCTTTAAATAGTTCGTAAACCTAATATAACTCTCATTCATTATAATTAATACAATTAGTCATATATAATTAATGCCTAATATGCTGCTGCGGTTTGTGAATGCCAAATAAGCCAGTGTTGTCTGCACAGTCTAAGCTCAAATTCATCCGTTTAGAAAAGTGCTAGCAACACCAAAGCCAATACCTACAGTTTTATCTAAGCGAATACATTTTGCATAATTCCATTGATG